CACACACACACACACACACACGATGTTGGCGGTGGAGCATCCCCCTACGTCAGCGCTGGCGTCGACCGCATTGGGCGCCGAATCGATTGCGCGCGCCTTGCCGGACCAGGTGCCCGAGAATGCACCGGCGCACTGTCCCGGTACCGAGTCCGAGCAAGCTGGCAAGGCGGATGCGTGTGCCGGCTGCCCGAACCAGGACGCGTGTGCTTCGGCACCCAAGGGGCCAGATCCGGACCTGCCGTTGATTCAACAGCGCATGTCGCGCATCAACCACAAGATCCTCGTCATGTCCGGCAAGGGCGGTGTGGGCAAGAGCACATTCACCGCCCAACTCGGCTGGGCATTCAGCTCGCGCTTCTCCGGCAGCTATGACGAAGACCAAAAGCATGCGGGAGAAGAGGAGAAGGAGAAGCAGGTGGCGATCATGGATATCGACATTTGCGGGCCTTCGATTCCAACCATCCTCGGATTGGCGGGTCAGAGCATTCACTCGACTTCGCAGGGTTGGTCACCCGTGTACGTGTCGGATAACCTGTGCGCCATGAGCATCGGATTCCTGCTTCCTTCGGCATCGTCCGCAGTGATTTGGAGGGGTCCCAAGAAGAACGGACTCATCAAGCAGTTCCTTAAAGATGTGGACTGGACTGCCGGTCTCGAAGACGAAGATGCACCCACCGATTCGGCATTGATCGATTTCATGCTCATCGACACACCACCCGGAACATCGGACGAGCATCTGTCGATCGTGTCGTACCTCAAGGACTCGGGCATCACAGGCGCCATCCTTCTCACCACACCACAAGAAGTCTCGCTTCAGGACGTACGCAAGGAGATCTCGTTCTGCCGCAAGATGAACGTGCCCATCCTCGGCGTGGTGGAAAATATGGCCGGATTCGTATGTCCAAGCTGCACAGGGTATAGCGAGATCTTTTATCCCAGTACTGGCGGCGCAAAGGCGCTATGCGACGAACTGGGCTTGAGATTCCTCGGTTCCATCCCGCTCGATCCGCGCATTGGAAAGAGCTGCGATCTGGGCGTCAGCTTCACAGACGAGTATCCAGATAGTCCCGCCACCAAGGCGTACCTAGACGTGATTGAAAACATCCACCAGCTCATCGAAAAGTAACACTGCCTGCATCTCATTGTAATTCTAGCTCCTCAACCTTCACTGTTTGGTATCGAGTGTGCGTTTGGGATGTGATGCTGTCCATTTGATGAGCGGGTGGTGGGGGTGAGCTTAGACGGCCGACTTTTTCGTCGGTGGTTCTTCTACGATGTCCAGCGCAGGTTCGAGGTCCGACTTCCTCTTTCTTGCGGCGGTGGATGCGGAGGGTGTGGCGGTGCGGCTGGTGCTGCGTCTCTTGACGCCCACGCTGGCCGTTCGGCGATCTGCGACGCTGTCGGTCAAACTCTTGGCCGAGTGGTGGCAGCTAGCATGGTAGTAAACCTGGTTTCCGTTATCCTCGACACGAATGGCGTTGAGCCAGATCCACTCCTCCTCGTCTTCGCTCCACTGGCTCTTGAACGGCTCCTTGCAGATCGCACACGGCCGCGCCGCCACATCCGCATCGCTCGGCACAACCACAAACGTCTTTGCAAACTTGTCGCGCAACGCCTTGTCCTGTGCTGCACTGAGTGTTGTTTTGCCCTCACCCTCGTCAGCTGCACCGGAGCGGGTGGTGCGGGCCGTGTCGTCAAAGCCGCCCCGGATAAAGGCGTCGAGTCGGTCGAACCACGAGCGCGACTGCCCGCGCGCCGCACTGTCCTTGGCCCGACGGTTCTGCGTAAAGTGCCAGTCAAGGTGGTCATCCATGCGCGTCTGAGCTTTCGCGCCCGCAGGGTAGCGGTTGGCACACTGCCGACACTGCTGCGCAAGATGCTTGTGCAGGATGAGATCGTACCAACACGCCGGCTCGCGGTTGAATTCGGGACCCGAGATCTTGATGTCAAGCGAGAGGATTGCATTCACATAGTCTTCATCTTGGTCTCTCTCGACGGGCGGAGGCGTGGCAGCCGCAGTAGAAGGGGTGGAAGATCCGGGTAAGAGACCCGCCTGCATGAGCGAGGCGATCAGCGACGATGCCGCGCTCGGCGGTGCTTGTCCGCCGTTGACGGCGGGTGCGGCGGCTGCCGGAGGCGCGAGCGACGAAAGACTGGCGAGGGCACCGGAGAGACCCTGTGGCAGCGCGGGCGCAGCGGCCGCTTGCGGCTGAGCCTGCATCGTGGCTGCATGGCCGGACGGATTGGACTGCTGCGATGCGGCCGAGAGGCTGTCGAGCTGCGCATGGATCTGGGCCATTTCTTGATGCGAGAGGTCTGCGGTGAGGATGACCTGCTTGAGCTGTGCGAGCGAGTCGACTCTCTCGTGGAGCGACTGGTCCGCCGGGTTGGCAGCGAGCGCCTGGCCGTCGATGGCGAGGAGCCTGTCGATGTCCTCGATGGCTTTGGCCTTGGACTTGGCGGTGCTCGCGCGAGGGTCTGCGACGGGCGCGGCGTGAGCAGCAGCGTTGTGCTGTGGCATGCCCTGGCTGCCAAACAGCGCACGCTCGATGCTCCACTGGGCATTGTCGCCGAAGAGCGGGCGTGCGCCCGGGCCGGCGATCTTCCAGGTGGCGAGGAGTTCCTCCATGCGCATCTTGGTGGGCTGGTCCACGAGGCGATACGATTCGAGAAAGATCGGAACGATGCGTGCCGCCCAGAGCTGGGTGTAAGGGTGGCCGATGTTTTTGGAGATCGAGTCGAGCGTGTAGAGGGCGGGGAGGCGGATGGAGGGGTGGGAGTGCATAATGTGGTCGTCGAGGCACTTTGCTACGACGGCCGACATGGTTGCGGCGTGGTCGTGTGCGATGACGGTGAGGTTGGTGATGATGGGCTTGGAGTTGAAGGTGAGCGACTTGAGATGCGAGTTGTACATGTTGGCGAATGCGCTGGGATTGGTGCCGATGGCGAGATTGGGGTCTGGGCCGGCCATGTGTGCGGGCATGGCAGCAGGTGCGCCGTACTGGGGCGGGGGAGGGGCGGCATAGCCATGCTGGGCAGGAGCGCCGTACATGGCGACGATGCCGAGGGAAGAGGGGGAAGCAAGGGTGGATAGCGAGCACTTCAACGAGGCTTTTCTTCTGACCACTACGCACAGATCGCTGAGCAGGGAATGCGCGGAATGCACAAGCAGGGCGGGCAGCGAGATGAAGCGCTGTGCGGCTGTGCGAGGCGGGCTCACCACTGCGAGGCAAAGAGACCAACAAGGATCAGATCAGCGAGGCGAGGCGAGGGATCGAACGTGGACCAGCGTAGACGGATCACGGTCACAAGAACGCAGAAGGCTTGTGTTTACGGCTCTCAAACACTGCGGCGCAAGGGGAAAAAGGGGCTGAAAAGGGGGATGCGGCTGTGCAGCCAGCTGTGCAGAGGTGTGCGGGACCAGACAGCGTGCTCAAGAAGCGATAGGAAAAGCACGGCACAAGTGACCAAGAGGCTATGAATGCGCTGCCTCGACGTCGGGGGGGTTTGTGGATGTGGTTGAGAGGAAAGAGGCAGGGCGGACGATGGCATCGAATTTGGCCGACTTTCGAAAGTGTGCGGAATTCGTCAGCGCGGATCCGCAGTCGCTGTTTTTACGGATGTTAGCTCGGCGAATGTGAACACATCCCAACGCAAAAATGACCTGGAAGGATCGGTTCGAGTCGAGAAGAAGGCGGCAGCCGGTGAGTCATTTCTACTCGACTGTCCCACTGCCCCACTGTGATCTCAAAGCTGCCAATCACAGCCAGGCCGAGGGCGCGAGAAGAACGGCGATAATGCAGATCCACACGACAGCGCCCTGATTGGCCACTCCACCTTGCCAATACACCACCACCACCACCGCCACCGCTCTCATCTCTCTCACTATGCAGCTCGCCACTCCGGTGCCGCTGCCAACCGCACCGCCACCCTCGGCGGGTGCGGCTGCCGCGTGCAAGAAGGACTTGGCCGTCGGCACGTCCATCCCCGCCAACATGCCGCACGCCGTCTCCGTCTCGCTTCCGCTCTGGAGCGACAACATCGACTACGAGGAAGGGCGCCTCTCCAACGCCATGGAGACCGGCTATCCGCGCTTCTTCATCCACCGCTCCATCCAGCGCCTCGCATCGCTCCTCTCCAAGAAGTTCGCCCGCCCAGACGAAGCATGCATGCTCTTCCCCTCGGCCAAGATCGCAGACCGATGCCGCGACTACATGCGCACCCTCGCCCCATCGCCCTCGCCACTCCCCATCCGCATCGTCCGCTTCTCCATGCTCGAACACGCGGCCTCCAACCCGGCCTCCATCCCGGACGCAAACTCGAGCTCCAGCACCGCAGAGCACGTCGCCGACCAGCTTGACGCCACCCACCACCACGCCTCCAGCTCCAGCACCACCGCACATTACATCTTCATCGTCTTCTTTCCCGCACCCCTCTTCCCGCTCGCAAAGAGCTTCTGGCAGCACACGGGCGACGGCATCTCCAGCAGGCAGGCCGATCGCTGCCTCTCCCTCCTCGAGCACTCGTCTAGAAATGCTGCCGACCAGCACGACGTTGCCAACAAGCCCGCCGCAGCCGACGCCGCTCCTGCACCCGAATCGGCAACCTCAATCTCCACCGACGACGTGTACAAAAAGTCGGCAGGCAAGCGCTTCTACAACCGCTACACGCGCACCAACAGCCACACCGCCACGCCCTCGCCCAACTCGAGCGCACCTCAGACTCCGTCCAGCAGCGGCATCCTGCAGCGTCCCTCGACGGCGGGCGAAGATGCTGCTGCTGCCGTCGTCGCCTCGGTCGAGCCCGTCTCGTCGGACCTGGTGACGTACGTCGAGGAGCGCTACGGCCGCAACCTGCCGCTCACCTCGGCACCTTCGGCCAAGCTAGCGCTGCGTCGCAGGATCGCCGGCACGTTGCTCTCGGACCGCTCCGAGCAGTCGGCCACCGAGGCCCCAGGCGACCAGGTGGGCGAGTCCGGCCGCACAGGCACTGGCGTCACCGAAGACGACGTCTTCCTCTTCCCCTGCGGCATGTCGGCCATCTTTCATGCGCACCAGCTCGCCATGCGTGCTGCGCCCCGGCTCGTGCGCGCCGACAGTCCAGCCAATGTGTCCCCGCGCGCCGTGGGAAAGAGCGTGTGTTTCGGCTTTCCGTACACGGACACGCTCAAGATCCTGCAAAAGTTCGGTCCCGGCTGCCACTTTTACGGTCTTGGCGTGGACGATGATCTGGATTCGCTGGAGCAGCTCTTGCAGACGCAGCAGCAGGCGGGATCGGAAGAGGCGCCCGTGCTGGCGCTGTTTTGCGAGTTTCCGTCGAATCCGCTGCTGCGTTCGCCCAACTTGCCGCGCATCCGCGCTCTCGCCGACCGGTACAATGTGCTGGTGTGCGTCGACGAGACGATCGGCAACTTTGTCAATGTCGAGGTGCTGCCGTATGCGGACGTGCTGGTGAGCTCGTTGACCAAGGTGTTTTCGGGCGATGCCAATGTGATGGGCGGCAGTATGGTGTTGAATCCAAAGGGACCGCACTATGGCGCACTCAAGGACGTGATGCGCGAGCACTACGAAGATACCTACTTTGACGAGGATGCCATCTTTATGGAGCGCAACAGTCGCGATTTCATTCGGCGCATTGTGCGCATCGATGCCAACACGCGCGCGGTGACCGAGATGCTGTGGCGCGCAAAAGAGGACACGCACTCGGACGTTGTCAAGCAGCTGTTTTATCCGCGCTATCAGACGCCGGAGAACTACAACGTGTGTCGTCGACGCAAGGCCTTCACGCCCCTAGGTGCAATGGAGGGCGATGGTGGAGGTGGATATGGCGGGTTGTTTTCCATTACGTTTGCGAGCGAGGCGGCTAGCAAGGCGTTCTACGACACGCTGCAGTGCGCCAAAGGACCCAGTCTGGGCACCAACCTCACGCTCGCCAGCCCCTACACCATCCTCGCCCACTACGGCGAGCTGGAGTGGGCGGCGCAGTTTGGCGTCGAGCGTGGCCTGGTGCGCGTATCCGTCGGACTCGAGGACGAATCCTTCCTGCTCAACATGTTTGGCGACAGTTTGGACGCTGCTGCCCGAGCGCATGCCTCGGCATAAGCCGAGCAGTCAATGCAATCTACTTGATGTCGATTGTAGAAAGTGCGAGCTACTTTTTCGATTTGGACGACGACTTGGATTTGGGCTTGCACTCTTCCTGCACGTTGGTCTTTGCGATGAGCGCGACCTTGTTGGGAGCCTTGGTCGGTTCGACGGCATCGGTGCCCGTGGCGATGAGCAAGACGTGGCCGGAGGCGTCGAAGGCGGCCGCGGTGATGGTCGATTCCAAACGCGGGTACTGACGAATGCGCTTCTTGGCGCCTGCGTCCCAGACACTCGCCACGCCATCTCCACCCAAACTCGCAAATGTTCCGTGACTGTGCGCGCCAAACTCGATCAGCAAAATCATTCCTGAACCAAGCAAGGGGGGGTTGGAGGGACTTACGTGGGATGGAAGGCAATCGCGTGGACGGGATAGACCGTATCATACGGTCCTTCTTCATCGTCCATAGTTTCACGATGGCATTTGAAGGCATACTTGAGCGCCTGAATCGCAGGTTTGGGATTGAAAAACTCGACGGCGATTCGACCTTCGATGCTCGATGTCGCATAGCCGTCGCCAGATGGCATGCATCGCACATCGCGCGCCATGAACTTGAGCGACGACTCGCGTTTCTGGTCCGGCTTCCAATCGCGTTCCTCCACCGCCTCCCCCCTTGCCTCTCTATCGATCGCAGCACGCAGTGGTACCAGGTCGTAGACGTATACGTGTCGTCCAGCCATCCCAACCACCAGTCTTGGTGTTTCATCCCGCTCCGCCAACTTTCCCCCTTGCGATGCGGTTGGTAGTTGCGAAGCCTGCACGCCGGGGAAGGCGGGTGAAATGTCCATCGCAATCACCTTGTCCGGCATTCGGAGTGTCTTGAGCGCCCCACCGCCATGCACATCCCAAAAGCGCAACGTCCTATCGGAGGATCCGGAGACAAGCAGCTGCGTCTTTGCGCACCACCGCAGCTTGAGCACCGCATCGTCGTGTTTGCCCACCACCATCGTCTTGCCTGCATCCAGATCGTGCAGCCGTACGCGCCGATCCACTCCGGCAGATGCCGCGATCGTATCGCTCACAAAGCACACATCGAGCACAGGCGCCTCGTGCGCGAACGTCTGCACCTTCACAGCGCCCCCTTCGTCGAGCCGGTAGTGGTGGACGCCATGGTCCCAGCTGGCTACGAGGATGCTGGTCGATGTGGACGGCGTGGGCGAAAAGGCGACTGCTGAAATGTTTGCGGTCGGAGGGTCAGGAAAGACGGTATCCGATGGAGTAGGGGAAGAGCGTGAGGACGATGGTCGCGACATGGCGGCGAGGCACGTTTGGGAAGTAGATGGTGTTGGTGAGCAGAAGAGGTGTTGGTCTGCGCGCCGAACAGGAGGCCAAAAGAGGTGTTGGTCGGGGAGACGCGTTGAGTACGAAAAATCTCATGAATTGTTACACCGATGCAACGTACATCGCCAAAATCCGCGCTGACCATCTTCACTTGTTCGAACCGACGCCTTCTCACGCTCTACCACCACCGGCGTCCATCATGAGCACACTGGCGCCACGAGCGGTGCGAACCACACGCAGGCTGGCTTCGCTGGCTTCGCTGCGGAAGGCCGGACCTTCGGTACTCCCCATCGCCCTGGCACGTGCGTCGATCGCACCGCTGTCGACTCGCAATCTGTCCTGCACACCGCACCGTCGGGCTGCACCGGTCAAGCCCTCAAAGCCGGAGCCTTCTGTGCCGGAAGGCCCGTTGCGGGACGAAAAGATCTCGGACGCTTCCGAGTATGTGCGGCTCGTCGACCCCAAGAGCGGCTCGCTCGCCGGGCCCTTCCACACGCGCACGATCCTCGCCAAACTCGACCGCACCAAGTTCTTCCTGCAACAAGTGGCGCCGCCACAGCCAGACCGGGCAACCATCCAGTACAACCCGCAAGCCGCGGGAGCAGTGGACGTGTCGGCGCTGGTGCAGTTTCCCATCTGCAAGCTCATCGACAAGAAGGACGAGTTCGACAAGCAGCGTGCCATCAAGCGACGCACATCCTCCTCGGCCGCTGCGGCAGGCAACGTGTCCAAGGAGGTCCAGCTGACGTGGTCAGTGACACCCAACGACCTTACGCACAAACTCAGCAAGGCAAGAAAGGAAATGCTGCGCGGTGCACGCATCAACGTCGTCGTCACAACCAAGGCAGGCGGCAAAAAGTACATCAAGGGTCTCGATCCCAAGCTCGACCAACAGCGAGAGGAGCTGCTGCAGAGCATCGAAACTTTCCTCTGCACGAGCGAGGACGATCCCCAAGCCGCACCAATAGCCCGTCGCCTCCAGGAAGTAGACTGGCAACGTGGCGGCTCAGCTGCAGTCATGTCGTTCGAAGCCTTCCGAAAGTAAGAAAATCAATCGCCAATCTCTCTTCTATCGAGCTGCCATTCTGAAAGGGGGGGGGCTAAACATATACACTTTGAGCGAAGCTTAGAGCCACTCGATGGTGGCGGGGGGCTTGGACGAGATGTCGAGCACCACGCGGTTCACGCCCTGCACCTCGTTGGTGATGCGGTTCGACACCTTGCTCAGGAACTCGGGCGGGAAGGGGAACCAGGTGGCCGTCATAAAGTCGGTCGTAGCCGCCGCACGCAGAGCAATCACCTGGTCGTACGTCCTCTTGTCGCCCTGCACACCCACCGCCCTCACGGGCAGCAGCACGGCAAACGCCTGCGAGATCTGGTCGTACAGTCCCGCGGCGCGGATCTCCTCAATGTAGATGCTGTCGGCGTGCTGGAGGATCTTGACCTGCTCGCGCGTCACGACGCCCAGGATGCGGATCGCCAGTCCCGGGCCGGGGAACGGATGCCTGCCCACCAGATGCGCCGGAATGCCCAGCAGACGCCCAAGCGCACGCACCTCGTCCTTGAACAGCTCGCGCAGCGGCTCGATCAGCTTGAGCTTCATGTCCTCCAGCAGACCACCGACGTTGTGGTGCGTCTTGATCGTCGCCGACGGACCCTTGAACGAGATGCTCTCGATCACGTCCGGGTACAGCGTGCCCTGGAGGAGGTACTCGAACTTCCCCTTGGCCTCCTGCGGCTTGCCTGCCGCGAGCGCCGCCGCCTCCTCGTCCTCGGCCTGCTTCTCCAGCTTGGCCACCTCGGCCTCAAACACGTGGATGAAGGTGTTGCCGATGATCTTGCGCTTCTGCTCCGGGTCCTCGACGTCCTTGAGCTTGGTGAGGAACTGCTCCGAGGCGTCGACGACGGTGAGGTTGACGCCGAGGTCCTTGGAGAGCATCTCGTACACCTGCGCGGCCTCGTTGGTGCGCAGCACGCCGTTGTCCACCATGACGGCGTGGAAGCGGTCGCCGATGGCCTCGTGCATGAGCTTGGCGGCGACGGACGAGTCGACGCCTCCCGAAATGGCGCCGAGCACCTGGCCCTTGGGGCCGACGATCTCGCGGATGCGCTTGATCTCCTTGTCGATGAACGTCTCCATGGTCCAGTCACGGCGGCAGTGGCAGATGTCGACAAAGTTGTCAAACAGCTCGACGCCGCGCACGCTGTGCGTCACCTCGGGGTGGAACTGGACCCCGTAGATGGGCTTGGACTTGTGGGCCATGGCGGCGAAGGGTGCGGTGGGCGTCTTGCCGATGACGACAAAGTCCTCGGGCGCCTTGCTGAGCTGGTCGCCGTGCGACATCCAGACCTGCACGCTGCCCTCCCAGTTCTTGAAGAGCGCGTCGAGGTGGGGCACGCCGGTCTTGACCACCTCGACCTCGGCGTGGCCGTACTCGCGCTTGTCGTGCGGGTCCACCTTGCCGCCGTGGTTCCAGGCGATCTCCTGGAGGCCGTAGCAGATGCCGAGCACGGGCACGCCGGCGGTGAAGACGTCCGGGTCGACGCGCGGCGCCACCTCGTCGTACACCGAGTAGGGCGAGCCGGAGAGGATGATGCCCTTGGGCTTCCAGTCGAGGTCCTTGATCTTCTGCGTGCAGGGGAGCATCTCGCAGTACACGTTGAGCTCACGGCATCGTCGCGTGATCAGATGCGAGTACTGCGATCCAAAGTCGAGGATGAGGATCGAGTCATACTGCGAGTGGATGGCCTCGGACATGTTGAGAGAAGAGGATGTCTATCGGAGGCGAGTTGCTTGGGACCAGGAGCAGGAGGATACGGCGGACGATGTCCAAGAAGAGAGGAGGCAAGCAGCGGCGGCGGCCTGGGCGAGGCTTTCCATCCGAGCCAAAGCTTGAAAGCTGCACTCTCTGCAATGGCTGCCACAAAAAAAAAATCGAGAGAAAAAGGGTCTCCGACGTGCACTTCCGCCGCGTCGAGCCAGAAGAAAGCATGGAGTTTTTTTTTTTCTTCTTCGTGCCACCTGCCTCTGGTTCCCTCTGGCGTGGTGTAGAATGCAGCTCAAATTTTGCTCCACCGCGTTTGGCGTGCGTCGGACGAGCCGAAAGAAGCGTTGACTCGAAATTTTGAGTGTGTTAGACCGACACCGATGGTGAGAATCGGCGATCTGCTCCAGCCTCCACTTGGACTCTCGAGCTGCACGTCCTGCGCCACTTGCAGGAGCAGGCGTAAGAAGGAGCGGGTGGCAATGGATCTTCTCGCCCCACCTGCTACGGCCCCATGGCGCCATGCCGCATGCGATACTGACGCTGGTGCGCCATGCCGAGACGACGGGCAACCTGAACCGCCTGCTGCAGGGCGTGACAGATTCGCCACTCACCGTGTTTGGTCAGGCGCAGGTGGATGCGCTCGCCCGCGCTTGGGCGACTACATGGAGCAACGGTGATCAAAGCAGGGACTCGACATCAAGCCTAGATCTGCCTCCGCCTACGCTGGTGGTGTGCAGCCCGATCGGTCGAGCGCGTAAGACGGCCGAGGCGGTTCACGCTGCGTGCTCGCGTGCATCCCAACCCTCGGCCCACATCGTCGAGGATAGGCTCAACCAGCCAGGCACGAGTCGGCTGGAGGTGATGCAGGAGCAGCTGACGCGCGATTGGCTCGCTCTTATCGTCGATCCGGGACTGGCAGAGAAGGACTTTGGCTGGAAGGAGTCGACGCGCGGAGGCACGCATGTCGCTGGCTATCCCAAGGGGCAAGGCAGCGGCGAGTCGCGCACCGACTTTGCGCAGCGTGTGCGGCGTGTAGGCGCCGAGTGGCTCGAGGCAGCATGCAGCCTCGCATCAGCCCACTCAACATCAACAACATCGGAGGCACCGATCCCGCACATTGTGCTCGTCTCGCACGGCATGTGGATCTCGACCTTCCTATCGGCACATCCGCCCACCACCATCTCGCACACCTCGGCCCAGCCGGGATTCCTGCCGTTTGCAGCCAACACGGGCATGTTCAGTCTCAAGGTGCAGCTGCCGCCCGGTCCAGCCACAGCACGACCAACCACCGATCTCTTCCGTGCCAACGACGTGCGTCACCTGGCCAATGTCAAGCGTCAAAAGGGCGGCATCGGAAGGGGCGCTTTTGACAGCAAGCAGACCAAGCTCAGCTCGTTCTTTGCACGCACACCCTCGCAGAACCTCGACGCCGGATCTTCACTAGAAACCTCCCCCTCGCCCACCAAGAAGCGCAAGACCTAGAAATGCCATCCTTTCGACGTGAAGCTCGCGTGTGAAGCGGCGGGCGGTGTCCGATTTGGAATCCAGCCCTCCACTTTCAGGCTTGCGATGCCCCAAGCTGAGAAATTCGGCTGCACTGCACTGCACGGCCGAAATCATGCGCACCCGGCTGAGTCAAATTGCCAATCCCACCTTTGGCGCTCGAGCCCGCTTCCTCGCTCGCGACATCCAACAGCGGATGCGACGGCGCATGCCCTCCTCTCTTCATCGCAACCGCAACCGCAACCGCATCGGCATCACCACTCCTTCACACTCGCCACAATGGACCCGCCATCGTCCGGCTCGCAGCCGAGCGCGGGCGGCATCAACCAGATGGCTTTTTGTCACGAGTGCGGCATCGAGATCCGCCCGCTCATGACGCCCGACCCCACCTGTCCGCGCTGCAACGGTCAATTCGTCGAGATCATCGACCAAGGCACCGCCTCCCATCCCTCCGACTTCTTCGACGATCCCGACGACGACGACGACTTTCCCTTCCAGCCCATGCATCCACACACCGGTCGTGCCGGCCCCGCACCCTCCCTCGCTTTCGGCGCGCCTCCCGCTGGACAGGGGCTCGGCGGCCTGCTCATGGCGCTGGCATCGGGTGCCGCGCGCGCGCAAGAAGGTGCCAACCGCGCACAGCAGCCCAGCTCGTCCGGTGCGCAGCCAGATTCAGGGCAGGGGCCGCGGTCTCCAGATTCGGAATCACAGTCTGCAACACGCTCGGGCTCCACATCCTTTGGTCCGTTTGGTCTGCAGTGGAACGTCCAGTATGGCTCGGGCGGAGGAGATCCGTACCAACGCGCGGCACAGCAGCAGCAGCAGCAGCAGCAGCAG